TCAGAGGTGGGGACTGGAGGCACTGGAATGGGGGTTATGCTGGGGTGTGGGGTTACTGGTGTAAGCTCAGAGGTGGGGACTGGAGGCACTGGAATGCGGGTCACAGGGGTTTGGGGTCAGTGCAGGGGCACAGTCTGGGTACTGCTGAGGGAACAGGACATAGGATAGGTGGCGCAGCCGGGCTGGGTGGGGTGAAGCAGGGCTGGGTGGGGTGGGTGTGCCCGGGGTGGGGGTCCCTGGGTGTGCCCGGGGATGGCTCAGCTGTGCCTCAGTTACTGCAGGCTGAGTCCCTTTAGAGTGCCTCGGGCTGTGGGTCCCAATTCGCAGTTGTCCCTCCGGCAGAGGCTGACCCGGGATGAGAGCCTGGGGCTGCTGTCCCATCCCACATCCCTCCCCACAGCTCCAGCAGTGTCCCTGTGCACTGCCTCGCTCATGGAGTGGCTGCTCTGTGCTTTCTTCAGAAAAAGGAAAAAAGTTYCCTTTGCTTACTGCTGAGCTCATTCTTAAACATTTATATTAGGGGGGCTTGCGGGGAGGGGAAATAATTGTGTAATGTCTTAGGAGCAGGGAGCATTCCAAAAGCATGAGTGCGTGGCCCTTTCCAGCACTAACAGCCGGGCAGCCAAGTGTCCCGGTGGCTGCCAATGCTCCCGAGTTCAGCCCCAGCTCACACACCCTGGGGAACAGCAGCCTGATCCCGGGTTCCCTCGGCACGGGCTGCGCTGGCACAAGGGCCAGGCTGAGCCCCGGGGCTGCCATCCCTGGGAAAGCGTCCCGGGCACGAAACTGGAGCTGCAGGCAGCGGTTTGGCAGCCTCTGTGTCACGGACACCTCTTGCATTTTGTTTCTGTTTTGCCAAGTGCTTTTGGAATCCACATAGYTTCAGTGGTCCAGCTCCTCCTCCTCGGCTCAGGTAGAGCCTGCGTGAGATTTTATGGACTTTAACTTGAAGCCAAGTTTTTGACAGCTGCAGCTTCTCCAGGGAAACATGGAAGTGGAAAATAAGCCGAGTCACTGTCTTCCAACAGGTTAYCGGGAGCGTTTAACTGGGCTCACCTCCCACCTTGCCGTGTGCTCTGGAGAGGCGTATTGACATGAAAAGTAAGGAATTGTGTTGGTAAACACTGACCGGCGCTGGGGCAGTCRGGCATTGCACAAGCACAGGCATCTGCTGAGATTGTGGCATGTTATTTGGAGCTTTCAGCAAGACACTTGTGCTGCCGTGAGGCTGGGAAGGCTTCGCTTCTGCAGGAGGTAAAATAAGAACATGGCATGATGTCCTTTGGAAAAGGAGGTAAGGGCAGGGAGTTTTTCCCACAAAGCCCCAACACTTGTGGTTTGAGCTTTTGTTTAGGCTTTCAAATTCTTCTGTTCCAAGTTCCTTTCTCTGTTTTGCTTGTGGATGTTTTCTGTGGGATTTAGCAATGAAATGAGCCAGCCTGGACTGCTCYGGGTCTGGGTCCAGACAGTTTCCCTTTGCTGCTAGAGCTGCGGTAAGCCCAGCCTGCCTGGTCCTGCCCAAAGAATAGCTCAGAAAAAATGGGTAAGGTCTAAACTTGGGCACTGAGCTGAGCTCCTGTTTTGATGATCACTTTGTTGTTTGGATATGGCAGGTTTAGAGGTGTGAGGAAGGTTTCAG